AGCTTGGCTAGGATGGCTGAACCCTCCCCTCTCCCCCAAAAAATCTGACAAAATTAGACCACCAAGACTATGTATCTGAGCTTCCTTAGGCAACATAAGGCACATCAGAAGTGTACTAAATCAGATAGCTACTCAGGCTATCTGATGTCGAGCTGGCAATCTCCACCATCACTACCACCACCGTATGTTCCAGGGACTGACACCATCTTGTCCCCATTGGCTATAACTGTTTCATTCTTTCCTACAAACTTGCCATGGACGGGTTGCTGATGGCTCACCAACTGGCACTGATCCACAAACCACCACTTTGAGTAGCACTGTGCTCAAGCACAAAAGAGTACACACACAGTATGAAAACATCAGTTGTTAAGCCCGTCCATAAATAATGTCTGCCTGCACTCTATTGTATGTGCACCAATTTGAGAGTAAGCTACACTAAACCCATTGTGCTTGTGAGAGTCTTCCTATTTAAAAGTACTGGAATGTTAATGGGTGGGGAAAGTAACTTGCCCTCCCTCTTCAAGTACGCAAGATTAATAACAACCTGCCTGCCAGTGTTGAAAGCCCTCCCACCTTAAAAACAATTCTGGTGTTCCAGTGGCTGAGGATTTGGGGAGTTGAAACCCCACAACATCTGTAGTCTCAAAGTTGAAGAACACTCTTGCAGCATGCAAGAAGAGGTGTTTTGCCAAACACACTTCTTGTACTACTATCACCAGTTTGCATATTATTCGTTATTCTCTGTGCTGGTGACACAAAGGATGATACCAGTGAGCCATGGGGGAAATTCTAAAATGATGGGCCTGCAGTAAACTGTATGTGTTGCAGTGGCTTTTACATTGCTGTTTAATGGTAATATGAAACAGGCTCCAAGACTACAATGTTAGGCACACTTTGTTGTTGTTGTGTGCCCTCAAATCCTTTCTGACTTATGGCAATCCTATCATGGAGTTTTCTTGGCAGGTGTCTTCAGGGGTGTTTGCCACTCCCATCCTCTGAGGCTGAGAGTGTGTGACTTGGCCAAGATTACTCAGTGGGTTTCCATGACCAAGCCAGGATTCAAACCTTGCTCTCCAGAGTGCCCAAATCACTACACTACTCTGGTTCCACTGGGCACGCTTATCTGGGGGCAAACCACATCCAACCTAGTGAGACTTGCATCTTGGTAAACTTCAATAGAATTAGACTTGATGTCACACACATTGATTATATGTTTCATTCATGTTATTTGAAAAATCACGTTTTGTCAGCCACTTTGGTTTAAGTACTAGAAACAAATGAAAAGAAATTCAAATGCCAAAACAAACTGAACATTCTCAGTGGTGTTGTTTAAGTGAAACACTGTTAACTATAGAGATCTTGTAGCACCTTTGGGACTGCAAATTGAGTCCACTTTTAGGGTTAGGGTTAGTGCTAGGGAATCATGGGAATTGTTTTTTTTTTCCTGAGACACTGAGCCTTTTCTGTCAGAGAGCTCTGGTGCCACAATAAACTACAGTTCCCATGATTCCCTAACCCTAACCCTTAAAGTGGACTCAATTTGCACTATTTCTAGCAGTCTGCAAAGGCCCTAACTGAAAGAAAGAAATTGGCAGCATGAGTTTCGTAGACTTCAGTCTGCATCCTCAGACACTACAATATCTTTCTACATACTGTTAACTAGAGTTCTTCTAGGATGTACAGTTGAATCAAGTGTTCATCAGGAGAGAAGTAGGTTCAGATTTGATTAAGGACTCTAAAAACCCCTGGTAATTTATATGCATGGTATAAATTGGAAATGTAATTGAATTAGAAGCTAGTTCTTCCCCCCCACTCCTCTTTTTCCCAAACGTAGTTGCATGTGTGTGCATGCGTGTACATGCAAACTCACATACTTTTCACTTAAAGTATTGCAGGAGGCATTCTAGTCATGGGCATTTGCTTTCGGAGGGTGAGGGGGGAGAGACTCAGGCCCTCTTAGGGCCTTTACAGACTGCCAGAAATAATGCAGATTGAGATCACTTCAACTAAGGAATCATGGGATTGTAGTTTTTTCTGAGACATTGAGCCTTCTCTGTCAGAGAGCTCTGGTGCCACAATAAACTACAGTTCCCATGATTCCTTAGCACTGAGCCAAGACAGTTAAAGTGGTCTCAAGCTGCATTATTTCTGGCAGTCTGTAAAGGCCCTTGTCTCTGATGTTCTGCAAATAAAAGTGCTGCTTCAAATACTGAGTGGGCACTTTGTTCCTTGCACACAATATCCACTTTCTTGAAGTTAGTATGGAGTAGAGTCAATGCCTTCTAACAGGCAAGGGATGACATCTGTGTAGGGGAGATGAGCAGGGGCTTAATTGAGATGCACGCGGCCACTTATGACCACTGATCATGTGGATTATTCTTGCAGGGCAGCCACACCAAACTTTCAGATCTCACTTCAGATGCCAGTGTTTTACTCTTTAAGAAGGATCTTCACTCAGTGCCCTTGTTTAGGTATTACAATTATTGCTTACATGGCAGCTTTAACTCCATGAGGTAGGAAGGCCTTCTGTGGTATGTGGTAGCATAGGACCACATTTAATGATCCACCATTGCTTTTTTGAGATTTGCTTTGTTTTTGTATTTTTGTTGATTTGTTTTTTAAAAACATGTTTTCACTTCATTGTCCATAGAAAGCAGAGCCAAAGATTTTATCCTAAAATCTAGGCATCTAAGGTCATTTTGAGTGACTAGGAATAAGAAGGAAGAAGTGAACCCCATCCATGACCAATCACTTATCTGTACCTCCTAATCTAGCAATCATCTTCCATCTTAATTAGATTTAGGAACCTCACTAAGAACTGTATTTACAATCAGATGCTAAGCAAGCCTCAATGCATAAGAGCCTTCATCCAATGATCTAAAGCAGGACTGGAAGTTGTGTAGCCCTCCAAATCTTGGAGTATTAACTCCCAGCATTCTTTACCATGAGCTGTGCTGGCTAGGACTGCTGGTACTGGCAGTCGAAAAACATCCAGAAGTCTTGGATTGACCAAGAAGGGAATGACCTAGAACGACAAAACTCACACGCTATTCCACATATGCACCTCAAAGTTTGATGCATTTGGCACATCATTTCTCAAGTTTCTTTAACCCTTCTAAAAAATTATGTCTCATTACTGAAATACTGTTCTGCTGCTGCTATCACCTCTGAATCATTCAAAAATTTTCTTCCTTTCAAACCCTTCACCTTCAGTCTCAACATCTCCATGCTGAAAGTTGACACACCACTTTGAGTATGACAGGCATTTGTCACTCAATGTTTGCATCATACATTCATGAATTTTTTTTGGAGTTTTCATCTGCAGGAACAGAAATTTCATGTTCAGCACTTGAAAATTCCACACTTTTCGTTGGCATGGTTCTATCTGTGATCTGGAAAAACAACAACAACCAGAAATTAGAGCTATGATCATGCAAATTGACTATTTGCAATACCAAAACAACAGTCTTTCAATCTACAGTAACAATATTACACCCAGATTTTGGGAAATGGGTCCAGCCGAGAACTTTTCAGTACCCCTTTATATAAAAAGCTGGCCTGGTACAATACAATCAAAGCAAAAGGAACATTGTTTGCAAAGTTCCTAACAGAGGGCCTGATGTATCTCAGTCCCAGATCAGAGAAAAGCTAGAATTACCTGAGCTTAGCTAGCATTTGAATTCCTTCACCTCTCACTTCAGGCGCTCCATGAACCAGGAGGATCTGCTCCAGTGATCTGCAGAATGGGAAATCATATTGGTTAACACATTGCAGATGTCCCTAATGCAAAATATGTTAAATTGGGCCACATTTCTCCTTCCTTTCTTCATTCATACAAATTTTCGATGTATATGAATTGTTTAATGTGCCCCATTTTATGTAGCCCTAAATGTGGTTGGCCTTAGTATGAGGCAGTTCAAAGTCCTCATCTCAGGGGGCAAACTGGGGATACAATTGAAAGATAAAAGAATCTGGGCAATTTTTATCTCAAATATGTAGTCCTACACCAACCAAAAACCTGTAGTTATCTATGCTTCAGGGTGGTTTTAAGCTTTGCCCTTAAGCACCAAAATGTGCCAAACATTTTTAAAAAGTCTGTGAGTTATTGCTCATTTATATATTGGCAATGCAATCCTGGGAAAATTTATCCAAAAGTAAATCTTGAGAGCCACTCTAGTGTAGCAGTTTGAGTGTTGGGGTAAGACTCTGGAGACCAGGGTTCGATTCTCCACTCGGCCATGAAACCCACTGGGTGACCTTGGGCAAGTCACATGCTCTCAGCCACAGGGGAAGGCAATGGCAAACCTCCTCTGAGCAAATCTTGCCAAGAAACCCCATGATTGGTTTGCCTTAAGGATGCCATAAGTAAGAAATGACTTGAAGGCACACAACAACACGTATGAGGCTGAGGCAGGAGAATGTGACTTGGCTTTGGGCATGGTCAAGCCAGGATTCAAACCCTGGTCTCCAGATTCATAGTCCAACACTAAAACCACTACACCACACTGACCAAACTTCTTCACCATTGCTCACATCAGGATCCCAATATTTCACATTATCATCCATGTGATAAAATCTCATTATATTCAGCAGACCTTGCTCCCTGAAAAACAGTGGAGCATGGTGACTTCCATGTCATTAGGGCAGTGAATTCACTCTAGATATTAATCCAAACTTTAAATGAGCTATTCATGATACTGAATCTATTGTGGAACTATTGTATGGTATTTTGACAAGCTTTTCGCACCACACTCTTAAAACGGGGCTAGTTTGCTTTAACAGCCCTGACTGCCTCCTGTTGCATCTTGGGGTTTGTAGTTCAGTGAGGCTTAAAGGCTCTCTGGCTGAATATTCTAAATGCCTCATCCTAAACTACAAGTCCACTTCCAGTCTTCTGAAATTTCCAGAATGCAACAGGAGACAGCCAGAGCAGTTAAAACAACTTAGCCCCGTTTTAAGAGCGTAGAGCAATAGTCTGGTTAGATAGCTGAAGGAACAACCCAAGATGCAGAATGGTTTGGACCAAAACCTCAAACAGATTCGCCATTCACCACAAAGAAGACTTTAGCTGACAGTGATGATGTGTTTTTTAGGATTACTTGATTTTTGGTATGATGAAGCTTCACTGTTTGAATTTGAATATTAATGAATATTGGGTACTTGAAAAAATAGAGACATGAATGATAATGTGAAATATTGGGATCCTGATTTGAGAAATTGTGAAAACATTTCGTCAGCATGGAGTAATGGTTTTAGCGTTGGACTATGACTCTGGAGATCAGGGTTTGAATCCCTGCTTGACCATACCTAAGGCCACTGGGTGACCTTGGGCAAGTCACATTCTCCCAGCCTTAGAGGATGGCAAAGGCAAACCTGCTCTGAAGAAACCTGACAAGAAAAACACCATGATAAGTTTAACTTAAGGTCACCATAAGTCAGAAACAAATTGAAGGCACACAACAACAATTGTCACATATTTGGGGGCGGTGGTGGGGCGGGTTACTACATTTTCTGTTCTGCAAAAACAGTCCCAGGTTAGCCTATTTGTTCCACAACTGCCAAATATAGGGTCTAAGCAGACTGCCAGAAATAGTGCACATTAAATTGAGGCACTGCCCTGGCTCAGTGCTAGGGAATCATGGGGACTGTAATTTATTGTGGCACCAAAGCTATCTGACAGAGAAGGCTCAATGTCTCAGAAAAAAAATACAATTCCCATGATTCCCTAGCACTGAGCCAGGGTAGTGCCTCAATTTAATGTGCACTATTTCTGGCAGTCTGCTTAGGCCCATAGTTTAGAAAGTGTGAACTATGCAAAACACAAACACAGGGTCAGAGTAGCTTACAGCTAAGGAAGACTCTTCTGGCATGATTTTTTAGATTAGGAAATGGGTAGGAAGCACATACGTGTGTTCCCATCCTGCTAGTAATCCTGTCTCCGAAAGGGTTTTGTCTCATTCTTGGAAAGAAAAGTGGTCCAAGCAGACTTGCGGCCCCTGGACATATTTATTGAGCATGTGGTTTCCATTATAGCTCCAATGATTTTTTTTTAAAGTGCTTCTTCCAAGTATTTTTAATCATGTGAACAAGCCACAAGGAAAACTATTGTGCCTGCCTTCTGTAAAGACAATGCATAAAGGGCGTAACACAGTTAGATTTTTCATGTGTGTTAGAAGGAAAGAGATTTTGCCTAAATATGTAAAAGAATTGTTCTATTTCTTTACAGCTTTTTCGTTTCTTTGCTGAGGTAGACTTCTGGACATTCTCGTTTCTGTCATTCATATACAGTTGTGTTTTGGCATTGACACAAAATGCCAATCCTGAACATGCTTACTGGGTAGTAAACCCCATTTGGACTTGCTTTGGAGTTTATTACAGAGTAAACAGATTTTCGGCAGATATGGGAGTTTATCGCGTGCACTTTTCAGCCCAGTTCATGCACGGGACGGGATTGGGCTGGAACGGGGGAAATGGGTTTTACTGCACATGAAATTGCTGCTGTGCTGCCAGCTGACCATCACCTGTTCCCTGATTTGGGCTCTGCTGACCGATTTCCATAGTACCAAAATCAGGCAGCAGAGTCCAGATCAAGGATGTGTGGTGGTCAGTAGCAATTTCATGTATAGTAAAACCCATTTTTCCCCATTCCTGCCTGCTTCCATCCCATGCATGGATTGGGCTGAAAAGTGCATGCAATAAACTCCATGTTCTCTGTTGCACCAAAATGCAGAAGGAGAACTAATGAGGGTTTTGCAAAAATTTCTGTTATACCATTTTTTTTAAGAGAAGCTTCCTAACAGTTGGATTGTTGGCTGTAGATCAGATGGCTTCAGGTGGTGGTAGGTTCTTCCTCAGTGGAGGTGTTTAAGCAGAGGATGCATACCTACTATCTGCCAGGGATCCTATGGTTACAAGATTGCTGCATTTACAAAAATGGATATGCAATCAAATCCACGTGTGATTTCTACTTTTCTCAAATGATATTTTCCCCTAGCATATCCTCAATATGGAGTCAGCTCCAGGATGTTATAATGCTTCCTTCAAATCTAATTATCTTTCTCCTCCTCTGCCACCCGGCGTGTAAGATGATCCCCAACTTTGGAGAAGATTTTCCTGGGTTAAAAAGTAGTCTTATGTGCCAGAATATATTTTCTCAGTTGTTAGTCTTGCTGTTTCTTATTAGGACACCTTACTCTGTGAAACTGTAGCTGATGCTTAAAGGTAAAGGTAAAGGTATTCCCAGCTGAAAGTCATGTCTGATCATAGGGGGCAGTGCTCATTTTCATTACTAAGCCGAAGAGCCAGTGTTGTAAGAGACTACTCTGCGATCCTGTGACCAGCATGATTGCACCTTCCCACCGAAGTGGTACCTATTTATCTACTTGCATTTGCATGCTTTCGAACTGCTAGGTTGGCAGAAGTTGGGACTAGTGACAGGAGCTCACCCCATCTTGCAGCACCTGGGCCTCGAACTACCAACCTGCTGATCTTGCAATCAATAGAGTGAGTGTCTTAACCACTTGAGCCACTGCATCCCATAGTTGATGCTTAAGATATAAAATATTTGACAGTATGAGCTGCCAGTCTTTGTAATATCACTAGGGAATACCTTCTAACATTTCATAGATGACAACTGGGACATGTGTGATCAAGCAACATCAGAGTGTGGTCAAGATGGCAATACCTATTAAAGAAGAAGACCACACAAACCAGGAGAGGCTGCAACAGTTCACCCCTGCTGATTTAAATGAGTACAAAATGTTTTTGCATTTGAACTCAGAGCCTTTCACACTCCACACTTGTAGCACTATGCTATGGATCCATCCTGTAGGATCCTGGAATTTGCAGTTTAGGGAAGGGCATTTAGAACTCTCAGCCAGAGAGCTCAAGTGCCTCCTCCATCTACAAACTCAAAATTCCATAGGATGCAGGCATAGCAGTTAAGTGGAATCATAGCATTTTAAATGTGTAGTGTAAAAGGGTTTTCTGTTTGCAGCAATTGGAGAAAGCTGAAGACAAAGGGGAGGGGGAAAGGGAAATGGGGGCATTTTAAAAGCAGCTAGAAAATGGAGCGACAGAAGGCTGTTCCTTCCAAATAGATTGTTAGAGCTTATGCCAGGGCTCACCCCCATGACATCACAACTCTCCAAGTCTCAGGATTTGGTTCCAAATCTCACTGCCTAGGATAGACCTTAGCTGGCAAACCTATGTATGACACTACTTTCTGCTTATATATAAGTACTACATTGTAGAATGAGGCATACAAGGAGTTCCTCTTATAAGCTTTCATGGTGTGCAGGATGAGCCCATCTGATCCCAGATGATTGACTCACAAGACTGGGCTTTTGTGGCTTCAAGGGAAAAAGTTTTAACTTAACAGCCTTGTTCTGCCACTAGGATCTTTGGAATAGTTTCCCCATTTCCTCTGTTGAGGATTAAAACTATACAAAACAGGGAAGGGGGGTGGAATGTGCTTGAGGAAGGGGAGGAAGGGAAGTCAGAAGTCGAGATTGAGGTCAGAAAACATGGAATTCATAAAGGGCTTGGATGAAAAGGGTGTAGGAATGGGGATTGAGAGACTGCAGGAGTAGTATTTGTTTAGACAGCTGAACAGGCAGGAATGTATATACAGCAATGTGCATTTTCAAATGCAAAATACAAATGCGGATAAGACTGTGCTTTAGATCATTTCTAAAGTCTGTTTGGAAACTGGCCCAGGATCAGTGTGAGAGTCTTTTATCCATGGTCTCTGAGAGACTGGAAAGTTGTTTTTTAAAAGTAATTGGTTACATGTGTAGTGTTAAACCCCCACACCCAAGTAGCTATTTCCTGCTGGAGTTACATTTTAAAAGTAACACTTTGTTTCCATGTTTCTTGAAAGTAATTAAAATAGTTACTTCAGGTTTTGTTGTTGTTGTTGACTTATGGAAATCCTAAGGTGACCCTATCGTGGGGTTTTCTAGGCACATTTTGTCAGACAGAGTTTGCCATTGTCATCATATGAGGCTGAGAGAATGTGCGAGTATAAATCCACTAGGAGCCCAGGTTCACTCAGTGGGATTACATGGCCAAGCACAGATTTGATCCCTGCTTATTATTGTTTATTTGTTTGTTTGTTTTTGTAATGGATTCTACAAGTTGCTGGTCCATGGTACAAAATTTAGTCTTCTACCATCCATCTATCACCTTGAAATCCACAAATAAGAATGAGGCATGAGCACAAGGTATAGCATGAGGCAGCGCTTCAACCACATGATCTTCTTCCTCCACCATTTAATAAGGCCAAACTCCTGTGATGTATGCATAAAGAAAAAGTCACTGTTATACTGCAAATACAGTCCCACTCCAAAATGTCAGTTCATTCTAGCTAACTGCTGGAAAAGGAGCTAAATGCAAGTAGTTCGCAAGTAGCTATCTTGGATGAAACCAATTATCTAGACCCATTTCAAACTGGCTTCAGGACAGACTTTGGAGTTGAGACTGCCATGGTTGCCTTGACTGACGATCTGCGTCTAAGTATTGACAGGGGTGACCCTGACAAGCGTGACCCTGTTGGTCCTTTTAGATCTCTCAGCGGCTTTTGACATGATAGACCATGGCATCCTCTTGGACTGC